CCATAGCATCTACTGGCCAGCAGTTAAAGGGAGAAGGTAAAGGAGGAGGGAACAGAGAAGGAAGGAAGGAAAAGAAGGAAGGAGGAAGAAAAAGAAAGAGAAGGGAGGCTTCGCGGTTGACAAGTATCCTGAGAGGAACTACTCCATCTCATCTACGTGTACACCCCCACTATTGAGCTGCCTGTTTGAGCTCATACCCTCTTTATTCACGGCATACTGTTGTATTCTGCATCAATAGGAATACCCCAGAAGAAGATAGATACACAAAATCGTAGATATTGCTCCCATATTGTAGATAAGAGAATGGAAATCAGGTATTAGTTATTTGAGGTGCTGTCACGCATACTACAGCCATACCTCGTTCCACTTTAACTGTTTTCGCAGGTAGTGTGTATTTCAAAAAATATACAGCGGTTTGTGGCAGCTATCCGATGTAAAATTTTATCCTTCCGAGCGAGCCTAATTCAACCAACCCGGGAGAAAGGGATTGTTCGATCAGGTGTGAGCAGGGATGCCACATCTGTTGCTACACACCCGCCACATTTGGGAGACTGTTGGGCTTGTGGGCGGGGTGGGGTGCATTTTGCTAGTTCGCTATCCTGTTAACTAAACAGGTCTCACTTCGGTAACATTTGTGAAGTGAAGGTGATAACTTTACGTTCCAACCAAGCTGAACTGCGCCAGGGATTTAATGCAAGAGCTTAAGATCGGTGGACAGCGCCATTCGCCGCTGCTCCACTCTGGATATTCTATTGATTCAAAAACAATATTGTTTAGTCAACGTCAAAGGTTCACCTGCAGAATGTAGAATCCGTATCGCCGTTTGAATTTGAGTTCTACAGTGAGTCGATACCATTCTCCAGCTTTATAGGACTGTAAATGAATAATGGGTACTGTCAAGCTGGACGAAAATTCTTGCTGAAAGATTCTTGTACTGATTTGTCCTTTCATTGAGCGAGACGCTGGTCTACAAGGTCCAACGAAGTATTGAATTGTTGCTCTCTAAAGGATACATTAGGGATTTACATAGCTAGTAGTCAAGGGTGGCGCTGTTTAGCGACGGGGGCATTTTGTACCAACATTGCTTTCCTAGTTCCGGTTTACAAATCTCACCATGGTAAAACTTGTGAACGGCTAACTAGATGGGTCGGCACATTTATGAAAAGCCGAATGCCCCCCCCCACCCCTCGTCGACAAACTGCCCATCAAGGTACTGGAACAGTTGAAGAGGGAGCCGCATATTTCCCAGTAGCATACTTTCAATTTTGGCGATTTGAATTTGTTTGGGATGTCACATGCGGTTATTGTGAGTAGGACAGACTGCTACTGAACCTTTTTGCCTTAATTTCAAGCGTGACGCTATACTTCTCTGAAATCATTGAAGTGAACTGTCTTCATTTCTGCTGCGTCAGTATTCAGCGGCATTGCTTTGAATTCCGTCCCTCCCCGCCCCCTTGCCCCGTATCTCAGTAACACCTTTCTTCCCGTGGTGATCTCATGGATCTGCATGCAGCTTTGCAGGCAACTTTAATCATTGATATTAGGTTGTCCGGAAAGTTCTCAGCGTTCTGTGCACACCTATTTTTTTTGTTACCACTCCATCTGCATATGAAACTCATTCTGCCTTGCTTCTCAGTAGCACATCCTGTAGAGAATTTCTTGCGCTATCTGATGGTATAATTGCCGTTTCACCAATGCTTGATATACCCCCTTTTTCAAGATTTTTTCAAGCATGTGAAAAGAGCACTTTGGACGATTATCCTCTTCGACTATAAATTGGGGCAATCCGCAATCGAAACAGCTCAACAAATTAACCAGGTGTGGAGGCCCAATAGTGCTAGAGAAAGCACTGTGCAGCAATGGCTCAACGCAATTTCTTCTGCGAGATTCTCCAGCCTTGAAGATGAACCTCATAGCGGTCGACCTAAAGCAATATCTGACGAGGATTTTAGGGGGACTTTGGAGGCTGACCCATCCCAAACAGTTCGAGAGATAGCAAAAAGCTATGCCTTGGCAAATCCACTGTTGCAGATGGTCTGGAACGCATTGGGAAGGTGAAAAAACTCGACAATTGGGTGCCCACAATCGGAGTGACCGGCAGGAATCGGCACGTCTCGAGGTTCCTTCTGCATTGCTTTTGCGCAGCAGAAACGACCTGTTTTTGGGCCGAATTGTCACCTGTGATGAAAAATGGGTCATGTATGATAACAGGAGACGTTCCGGACAGTGGTTGGATTTCGACGAACCACCGAGGTAATTTTCAAAGCCGAACCCTCACGAAAAAAAGATTCTGGTCACGGCTTGGTGGTCATCGGCTGGTGTGATCCACTATAACTTTTTATCACCAGGCCAAACCATCACAGCAGAACCCTACTGTGAAGAAATCGACGAATTGTACCGAAAATTTTGTCAGATGCAGCCAACACTTATCAAAAGAAAGGGTCCGATTCCTTTGCATGACAACGCCCGCCCACACGTTTCACAAATCACTATCCATAAATTGAACGAATTGGGGGTTGAAGTTCTACCTCAACCGCCATATTCTTCAGACCTTTCGCCAACCGACTATCACCTTTTCTAACATTTTCAGAACTCCCTTGCTGGAAAATACTTCATCAATCAGGACCAGGCAAAAAAGCCTTAGTGGATTTCGTGAATTTTCGACCACCCAGTTTTTTACTTTGATGGGATTTCTCGACTGCTGTCACATTGGCAAAAGTGTGCTGATTCGAATGGTGCCTATTTCGATTAAATCCGATGAGTATTAAAAAAGTTACGATCGTTTAAAGTGAAACACCCAAAACGCTGAGAACTTTCCGGACAACCTAATAGATCCTGAAGAGGTCATAGACACGATCTTAGTAGGGAACCTAGCTCCTGTTACCAACCACTATGTTTCCGCAGTTGAAAATGTCAGGAGAAATGCCAACTTCACACGTAGAAGGAGGATCGCCTAGCAAAGCCGGTGATCCGACCGGTGTTTGCCGAAAAGTGCTTCCAACGTTTACGATAACAAAAAAGGTTCACCACGATCATGCTTCGATTTACCAGACTGACGCATCTAATTATCCTATCGCGGGAGGTTTCCCTGGTGATGGAGATTGTGGACAGAGACACACGATAGTTATCCAATGGGTTCAGAATAAAGATGTTGCCGACTTACGGGGGGGGGGGATCGGTGGTGGCTACTTCCGGCTCCACCTTCGGATTGTTAGGAGTGGAAGAATTTTCGAAAAAAAAGGGCATTATGGCTCTTTTGAAAAGGATCCACTGAGAGAAAGTCAAAACGATGAAACAACTTACTTCTGGTGTTTGAATGTCGCACTCCGCCAGATCAAAATCTGGCAAAGCTGATGTCGATCGAGGCAGCGGTGAACCCGGTATTGCATGGCCAATCAATCCTCACTGTGCATGTTGTAGCTGAATCAGCTTTCAAAGAACCTTGAAATGAAAATCTGTCAGATAATGCTGTCTCTTATTATCCCGTTCATTTTTTGGCCTTTCTTTCTGTAACTCTTTATGGCCTCGAGAGAAGGCTCTCAGAGTTTCCAAAGTTTGCGCAAACCTCGAACTAAAATGTTCACTTTCTAATCGGTTCGATCGGATCGAGAATTCGGAGTTGAAGTGGGCAACAACTGCTCTAAGCTCTTCTGCAGAAGTATTTTCCCAAAGGATCAATAGGTGTTTCCTTGAACGCACTAGCTGTGGCTACCAACTATTGCACTCAGTGAAGGAAGACGCAGAAGAGGGCGTAAAAACTCTAACTCTGAAAACACAAGTTGGTTGCTGTTCCTGTTTGTCTTTCCATGAGAATTATTGCTTCTGTTACTGCTAGCGCAAATTCTGTGTAGTATACTAGCAGACGAGACTGCGGAAGAACTCCGAGCTCTGATGCCGGTTGAAATATGAGGGGTGGTTCTTTCAGAATGAAAACGCTGCATAAAGAAAAAAGCCTAGCGGTGAAGTAATTGTCGTCGTGGTGTATGTAGAATAGGGAGCTTTCATGTGTTTTAACAATGTTCTAGTGAACGGTAGAGGTAGCCACAGGGATATACTTTTCCGGCACTGCTAAGTACACCTTTATTGATCCTTTTTCCGATAGACATGAAATATTATTTGGCTTACCAATGAGCAAACTTGTTCATCGATGGGGAAGCGCTCGAGGTTCATCGAACAAGGTGACTCGACTTTTACCTGAAAATGTCATTTATTTGTAGTTTCTGAGCGACGGCATATTTTCTTTGATCTTACGAATACGCCGTCAGGTATACTGGATCATTGTGGCGAAGTCAGCCGTACAAATTGTCTCAACTGCAGTGGACTTCTTTATCAGGCGTCAAAACAGCAGCCTACGCTTCAATCGAATGCCGAGTCTATTGAACGCATTGCCTCATTGTGCGTTCCCTCGCGTTTGGAGCTTTGCATCAGAATTTACAATGTCGCGACTTGACTCTCCCCATAATGATTAAAACGGTCCCGCGATCGACCTATGAAAAATGCATGACCGGTATGTGGGAAGGTAAGTCCGCGGAGTGGACACCGCCTGGCCAGTTCCGCAACTTAAAGTTGCTGCAGTCAAGGATAAGGCGCAAAGTTGGCTTCGTTAGTACATTCCCTTTTTATTCGTGAGCTCCGCCTGCCAGACTCGCGCCTGCCAGTGGGGCCTTCCGGCCAAAAGATTGCTCCAGGCCAAGTTACATTCACGGAAGGATGCCCATCGATGTCTCTTGTAGAGTTATATGGGCTTCATAAACTGCGGAATCAGCCGACAGGAGTCGTACCAGCGCGCGAACTTCTCGGTCTTTTACCTCTACAGTTATTTGAAGCTAAAAGAGGCTTGAAGAATGCGTTCCCAAAGCGTTTCTGCTTTGCATTTTCTCTTCACTGACGGCCTTCAGGTTGTCAATTTTTTCGTCCACATTTTCTTGCAAAATCAACTAGGCTTTTTATCGCGGACCGTGCTTTAACTGGTGCTTCCTTGTTTGTGGATCCCATTAGAATGATCCATCACTTATGGGATGCCCAGTTTCGCATGCTCGGCATCCGGAACGCGATAGCCTTTTCTGTGTGTGAAGGTTCGCCTCTTTTTCTACCAACACTTTAGCGCTATCCAATCTGTAACCTATTCCATTTACATGTGACCCACCCTGTAGTTGAGCCAAATGGTTCCATTTGGCATTAACATCAGCAACACGTTCGGCTTCGGTGATTTGTGTACCGTCGTTGATTTAGTATTTACTATGCAGACATTGGGCGACCATAACATCTGAGAGTGGATAAAAATACTGACAACTCAGCGATACTATTAATATGTGCTATTGGAAATATGGTAATGAGAAAGAGAAAGCATTCGGTCATGAACAACTCCGTCTTAAGATGTACCACTCATTCGACTACCATTAAATTAGTGATGGCATAGAGTTGCCTAGTATAACGAGAAACGTGGTGGGGGAGGGGAGAGGGGGGCTAATGTGCAAGACAGTGCTAACTCTGATAAGTGTGATCATACTCGCCGCGACCTATGCTGCGTCTTGAATACCAACATCGAATGAGCGACGCGCAAAAGAATTTAGAGCAGGTCTGCCGAGCAGTTATATTCTGCTTTTTGGGAGGAAGGTATCAAATTTGTCTGATTGATTAACAAATGTTCGCAAATGTCGCTGTGATACAAAACTCGTGTGTGAACGCTATTTCCAAACAAAATTCGAGTGCGTGGCGCATCCTGAAGGAGAACATCGTCTTGACTATTCGGTATGCAGAGCTCTCAAGCATAGTAGACTCCAATAAAATGAACAGCGTCATAAATTGATATACCTTTTCAAATTTGTCATCAAATGACATGTTTGCCCTACAGCTGTCTAAATGAGAGAATGCGAGACGTTCATCGTGCCATATAGAACTGAAATGAAGCTTGCTTTCACACCATGACAATTAGATCTGGCAAACCAGTAGTTGCTTCACAACGTAATATTTCTCCTAAACACTTACTATCGATTACTAACAGATCGACTTTCC